ATGCTGAATAATTGCTGATTCTACAATATTCCTTTCAAACCAAGAAGAACAAGGGAAGATGACTCTTGCTTCCTGCCAATTTGCCGGGTTATTACAAACTCTAATGTGGCATGTATAAACTAATAAAACGTATAGAGCTGATGATACCGAAAAAGAAAAAGGATTCATAGTCCTGGCTAGTAGAAATATGAAGCTAAGACAGCAGTGCATAAGCGTTCGTAATAAGGCTTATGGACAACAGGTTTATACCAAGAAATATATGTATGAGAACTCCAACGTTATACAACAGATCTAGTCATCATTTGTAAGGCTTCATATAGATCACTCTGGTCACTTATGATCTCTATACTACAGAATGGGTATATGTGCGTTGGATAACATATAGAGAAGGATGACGAAGCTAATTTAATGTTCAATTATATGATAACTTGTCTGTGATGATAGATTGGGATTTCTGAATATGCTTTTTCTTGCGAATCGTACAATGGATGAGTATGTTGTTGAAATATACAACCAGAACTAACTTCGAATAAATTCGGATTTTGAAGGGATACAGAAATGTGCCAGTATCACAAATGAGGTGAAAATGAGAAGAACAAACTAGCAATTGGCGTTATTGAAGATAATATTTTGAGTGAGTGTTTGTCTAGGACCTACCCGACTTGCATCAACTGCAAATTTCTTATTCGTCTGTGCTTTACATCGGTGACCTTCGAAAATGCAGATTGTGAGCGAGAGTGAGAGAGCGTTTGGCAGGAGACGCAGGGAAGGCCAAGGAAGGTGGGAGGAGCTTAGTGGATGCCCAGGTATAAAAACACCACAGATTCGTCCTCCAGCATCATTCTTCAGCGGACTTAAGATTAACACTTCCAGTTCGCTTTCCTGCTGGCTGACAACCATGAAGGCTTTCCTTTTCATTGGTGAATACAGCTTAACTTTCAGTGTAGAAATTATTTCATATAAATATTGAGGGTTATATAAAGTTTTGGAAGAATATTATCATCTTAAACAATAATAACTAATATGTTTATTTTCTACAGTTCTGTTAGGTGTAACTACTGCTGACAAACGTCCACCCACAAGTTACGGAGCACCAAATGGAGGTTTCGGTAATGGGTTTGGTGCCTCCAGGAAGCAATGGCTTTGTGGCATCTCTAGGTAATGGAAATGGAGCCCCTACAAGCAATGGATTTGGACGCTCCTCAGGCAATGGGTTTGCAGGTGCTCCAAGCAATGGATATGGAGCTCCCCCAAGTAACAGGTATGGTCCCCCAACAGGTTCTTATGGACTAGATCCGGAGCTGGTGGCTCTGCAGGAGAACATCCCAGGAGGTGGCGTCCCCGGTGAAGACTACCCAGTCCTGTCTTCTCCACCAGACACTGGCTTCTCTTGTGATGACCAGGCAGTGGCTGGTTATTACGCTGACACTGCCCCTGATGCTAGCTGCCAGGTGTTCCACATTTGCCAGGACCGTGCCCTCAGACGCCAGAAGGACTCATTCCTGTGCCCCAACGGTACCATTTTCAACCAGCAGTACCTGGTGTGTGACTGGTGGTTCAACGTGGACTGTTCTCAGGCTGAAAACTTCTACTCTGTCAACGAACAGATTGGTGTCGTCCCCAGTGCAGGCTATGGTTATGGTCCCATTGCTAACGGTATTGCCAATGGAATTGTTAATGGGAATGGTAATGGCTACACTAATGGCAATGGATTAAACGGAAATGGCAGGAATGGTAATGGTAGGAATGGAAACAATGGTTATGGATCTAATGGAAATGGATTAAATGGAAATGGTGGGAATGGAAGCAATGGTTATGGATCTAATGGAAATGGATTAAACGGAAATGGCAGGAATGGTAATGGTAGGAATGGAAGCAATGGTTATGATCAATGGAAATGGACGGAATGGAAACGGAGGTGGTAATGGTGCCAATGGTAATGGAAGAAATGGAAACAATGGGTATGGATCCAATGGGAATGGAAGGAATGGAAATGGTGCTGGTATCTTTGCCAATGGTAATGGTGGTAATGGGAATGGTGCCAGCAATGGATATACCGCACCAGCTTCTCCCTCCAATTCCTATGGCACTCCATTTTAACATGACCTTTGCCTCTTGTCTTCTGCCTCTTGAATGTCTCTCTTACAGTGATTCGACTCTTTAATGAATGAAGAGCTATCTTTAACCTTTTGTAAATATTTATACGAGTTGATAATAATTGACTATAGAACGAATGTCTTAATATTGTATAATAAAATTCTTAAATGCTTAATTTAAATATTTTACTACAACCTTCGTAAATTACTGTTTGTTTTTAAAGTGAGAAATACCATAAAATATTTCACTGAAGAGTTTGTGAAACATGAGGATCATATTTGTCAGTAAATAAATACTGCCAGTTTACTTTTATCTTTCATTTTAAAATTAAAGTATTCTTGATATTTGTATCTATGTTTATTGCGGTCTTGCTAATCCTCTTTAGGTAACTATTATTTAAGCT